AATTTAACCCTATCTTAAATAGCCAATAACCTATTGGTGACCTGTGTTGCTTTGTAGATCTTAGTAAAACTTGCTGAATGTTTAAATTTTATCCATAAATTGCTCAAACCTGCCCTAAAATATGTTATGATTAAAGTTTTTAAAGCCCCCTAGTGATAAAATTCAGAACTTGCTCAGACCCTCAACTGAACACATACAACTTTTAAAAAAGCAGATTCCAAAGATGGAAAAATCAGCCAGGAACAATAAAATGTAGATTCGTACAGTTTTGTTTCCCAAAATATTCAGTGCATTATGGAATTCTGCTTTCTTGTTTCTTAAATTAATAATTGATTGATTGATTGATCCAAATACCAGTGTGAGTCTGAAAAAGTGTATAGCTGAGAGGGGCTGACCTGCATAATCAAGGGAGGCCATTAAAATAATAAATGTCATAAAACAGTAATTCAGAACTATGCCAAAGGAAGATACAGTTCCAAGTTATAGATCATAAAGAGATATTTTGTGATGAGTGCAAGAATTGACAAGGCCAAATTCTTACCAGAAAGAACTAGAAATCATACATTCTGAGAAGCCAGACATTTATTGTGGGAAAAAGGCAAGGCTATCAACTTGACACAAAAACTGTGCATGGAGAACAATAAATAGAGATTTCTCATGTAATCCCAGCAAGTTCTGGTTATGGTAACAATTTTCACTGTTTGGGTGAAATAAAATAGAGCTAGATGAAGAGATAGTAGTTTAAACCAGCATTTGCCACCTCAAAAATTCCACATGGTTGGGTTTGTCCAACAGGAAAATATTTATTTATTTGATACATCTTTGGTGAATTCACTCAACATGCCAGGCTTGTTTAGGGTTAATCATAGTTATTTTTTGTGGCTTCCTATCTGCTATGGACTTAAAACTCTTGTCTGACTTATTTTTAATCTAGTGGATTATGCAAACTAAGAAAATGTTTTAGCTCTGTAATCAGATTTTATAAATAAAGTTGTTGAAACTGGTGGCCATGAAGGAGATGCTAATAATATTCTTAGTAATTAAGACTGCTATTGATGCTATATATGAGATTTTTTTTTTATAGCAATACTTTCCTGCTTGTATAAGCATGCAGATTCAAGCAATGGCTGTTCTACTCCTATACTTTAATATACGTGATTCTTCTGGTTTTACATAAATTATTTCCATCCATTTTTTGGAGAAACAAATCAGAAGCTGCCCTCCCTCCCGCTGCTTCCTTAATGCGTTGTCTGTTCTCCAGCAGATTTCACAATCTTCTTTTCTCACATTTCCCTGTGATAAAACTATCCGATCAGTTTTATGATGCCTATAGAAGAGTTCCCAGCTTGATTTCTCCTGATATGTCACACCCACCTCCCCAGAACAGCATCCCTCAAATGAAACTAATAGTACTACAATTGTGAAATGCGTTGCACTTGGAGTCCAGAAGTACTTGACATAGAAGCACAGAAAAAAGTGGATTTTTTTGAGAGAAATAAGGAAGAAATTGGAACTGCACACTGTTCCCTACATGTTGCAATTATCACAGTTGGGGTCATTTTCTTATATTTATCAACAATGTTTTCAACTCTTTTTTTGAATGTTCAAAGAGATGACCCCTCTCCCCACAATAATTCATCTTTTTTTTTCTTTCGGCTGGTTCAGAATGTTTTTGCAAATAATAGAATAGCAAATAATCCTCTGCTCTAAATGCATTTCCAGAGAGAGATACATTAATACTGAAAGCCAGACAAGCTATTAATGCATTGCTCTATTCTGCCCGTCCCTCTGTATTTGCGATGGTGATAATGATTTCATTCATGTATTCACATAAGTACAACCTAATCAATCTGGGGCTTCCTCCATTACTGAATAATTTCAGGACTGAAGCAAACCGCAAGGAGATTTAGTACCTATTCTTAAAAACATATTTGTATATATATTCACCCCGTGGAAGAGTATGGTGTAACTGGAAAACAGAAGTAAATAAACCTAAATATTGCATGAACGGAGAAACTGTAATGGTAAATTGCTGTCAATGGGTGGCAGCAATAGGTTCTGTTGAATTTAAAAAAATGTTGCTATAGCTCTTGCTTAAGCACTTTTCACCAAAATTAAGAAATTTAATCAGCAATGATATAAAGAGCCCAGAAAGAGAACAGGGAGAGAGGGAAGATGAATTTTAAATGGGGAGCAAATTCATTAAGAGTAGGAAAGTGGAAAAGGGAGAAGGAAAATTAAAGAAGCAGTTGGTTGATTTATAGTTAAGATGCTCCAGAAAGCTCATATGTTGAACAATATTATGTGAAATCACAGCTGCCAGTTCTTTAATTGGTGTTGGCCTTCATACACCAGATATTAAGATTTCATAATGTATTGGCATAATATATGTGCCATATCCAAGTATATCCAAGCAGTGTGGCCTTTTGTAATTGACAGATGGAAATTTTATCAATATGCAGATTTTCTACATATCACCTAAGATTTTTCTGACATGGCATCCACTGTGCCAAAAGCCATGGGATCACTATGGCCACTTTGTGTCATAGTCTTTCAATTTTGATCTTGATACTTTGCAATCTTCTCCAATTCTTTGTCTTCTACCCCTCTCTTATTGCCACATCAATTATCCATACTTTCTTCTTCTGTTCAACCACAGTAAAATATGATGTGTTATGAGCCAAGACTTCATGAGTTTGTATTCAGAAATCTCACAATATTTTAACATGTTAATTTTCAATTACTTTTTCAACTCTGTGTTGCTGCCAATTTTCATTACTGGCAAATGATAATTTTTACAGATGTTTCAGTGAATAAATTATGGCAGCTGTGTTACATCATTGTTTATAATCTTGCATATGTTGAGTATATGATCTATTGTTTCTTTTGCTTCTTTGTACAATCTGCACTTTGAATCATTGGATTATTTTTTTAATTCTGGTCTTGATTGCATTAGTCTTAACAGCTTGCTCTTATGCAGCCAAAACCAAGCCTTCAGTTTCTTTTTTTTTTTTGATGTTTCAGATGAAAGCCATTGCTAGGTTTTATTTTTATCTACTCCTCCCCCCCCCCGATTTTTTATAGAAATTGACCATGTAATATTTTTCCTTGCCAGCATTCTACTCTTGTTTTTATTAAATTGTTTCAATATTCATATTTTGTTTCCTGTAAGTTCAGTAACTTCTAATTTTTAACTTTTAATTTTGGGCTGTCTAATTATAATTATATAATTAGTCAATGCATGCTTTTTTGCTTCAATAGTTTGTTTGACCTGAAGTAAACCTCTGCTTTCATTTCTGTGGAGCAGATGTACTCTATCAATATCCCTATGGGGATGTAATGCATAGTAACATAAGTACCTGGGCCATCAGGTTTATTGTTTTTTTGGTCCAACCTGTTCAGTTCAGCTTGTGTTCTGTTAATAATTCCCGCAATGTATCGCATCACAGGTATGACCCAGGTACTTATGTTTCTACCATTCAGTTTTGTCTTTAGCAACTTTCTCTTTACACACATTCTTTACTAATCACATTATTAACTTGCTTGGATAAGTTACACTTTTACACAACTGTAAAGTGTCAGATACCTGTAGACTTCAACCTGAATTATTATTTATTTTTACAGATGAAACATTAGGATAAGCTATATCCTATATCCTTCCAATGTTTAGATTATCATCTTAATAAACTCCACATGGTGTGATGGGCTATGATCTTTCCAGTGAGTTGTGTTCATGTGAGATGTATTCCAATACAAGACCAGTTGGGGGTGACTGTTCTGATACATGTTGCACTGAGCAATCAAAATGCTGCAGTTACAGAATGGCAATCACAAGGGGGCATTGCCAACACTCAATAACTCTGGTGAAAATTTATCGAATCCTACATCCAAGTAGTGACAGCGCCGATTACAGGAGGGACAGGTGACTTTTTAAATGTGTGAAATGACCTGAGCTAACTGCTGGGAAAACTGGGGTGGGTATTTGTGAATTGCTTTGGCCCATCAAATTGGAATAGAGTGCAACAAAAGTCATTTCTCAGCTCAGTGAAATCCACTTCTCATGCTTTCTCACAACTCCATTCAAATCAAATTGTTCTGCAATTACCCTGCAATTCTTTCTGGATAAAGAGGTACAAAAGTTTGCCTGCTGTTCTGTATGTCTTAACTGATATGGTTAATTGGAAAAGTGATCCCCATAATTTTATGAAGAAGGCAGCCCATCCATACATTTGAAAATGGTAGAGCAAATAAAATCCTGGAGAAATCTGTCAAGGCTCTTATTCTGACAAAAATCCACTTTGTTAGACACTCATCTAATCTTTTCGAGCAACGATCAGCATCAGAAGCAAAGGGAATATTACCATAAAGGATAATATAAAGCAGGCAGAGCTTTGATTGCACCATCACAGTTACTATCTTTTGTTATATAGCACCATCCCCAGCTGTGCCCTTTTCCCACTAGATCTGTGGTGTGGAAGGCTTAGGTTTCCAAGTTGCTGAACTACAGCACCTGGCATCCCTTCTCTTTGACAGTGGGCTTCCTGCAAATGCTGGAATTTGCCCTTGAAGGACCTGGGGAGTTATCTCCCCCTCCAGTACTTGGTTATACAGTTTGCATTCGGCCTAGAAGCAGCAAGGGTGAGAAGACCATGCCAGGGAAGGTAGTTTGCTCCTTCTCCCTCTCCTCCAACTTGGAGTTGACACTAGAGCAGCAGAAGACCGAGATCACACAAGTTTTGTAAAAGGACACTAATGCTGGCTGGACAAAATTCTCCTGGGCAAATGAGAACTTTTCCAATCACCCTCTCCCACACTAACTGGAACCCAGGTCTTTTCAGGGCAACAGATTTCCCACATTCACCCTCCTGATGTCCTGTGCAGGTACATGGGAGCCCATCCAGTGCGCAAACAGCTTCGACCAGCTCCCCTCACTTGTCAATCTAGTCTTCCTTTCTCCCTCTGCCAGGGTGTGCTTCTCCCTGGGGATGGCTGGTTGGCTAGCAGCTTCGGGGAGATGGCCTCGCTACAGCGGCAGCGGAGGAAGGTTGGACGTGTACCTCCGCTCCTCGGTCGCCTAAAACAGGTTTTACGTGAGGGAGCCTCCGTGTTTTCCCAGCCCCCTCCCCCGCGAGCCTAAGAGGGGGTCGAGGAGGAGAAGGAGCAACCGGAGCGGAGCAGAGGCGGCGGCGGCGGGCAGAGGAGTCTTGTCTCCGGCCTCTGCTGCACGCGCCTTCCAGGAAAAGGCGCCTGGTTCGGGCGAGAAGCTGCAAGGGCTCGATAAGCTGGCCGCTATCGGGACGTCGCAGGCAGCAGAGCACAGCAAGGAGGAGCTGCGGGGGAAGCGAGCGAGTCGCGGGCACATCTCCAAAGCCAGCCGGGAAGGAGGGACGGAGACAACCCAGAGGGAGGGCGTGGAGACCCGGGCTCCCCTCCAGCCGTGCTGGAAGCCGCTTGTGCGCTCGGTGGCGTCGCTGTCCAGGAGGACGGGAAAGCTGCTCGTCCCCCCCCCCCCCGGGCGCCGCTTCTGGAGATGTAGCAAAGGTAGGAGGGGGAGGGGAGGGGAGCCGGCGGGGAAAGGTGAAACGGTGCATCTGGGAAGGAGAGGAGGGCGGAGTTCAAGTCTGCCGGAGCCGGTGCCTTACCTGGAAGTTGGGGGGGGGGAGGGGGTTGAATTGATCCAGGTCAAGATAAACTGGCTTAAGATCCCAGACTTTTAGATGAAGGGAGGTGTTTGGAGGAGAGAGATTGGAAAGGAGTCCAGCTAGCTTTTGGAGACAACTCTAACTCTGCTTTTAGACTGCTTTCTCCCCTGGAAAAATGGCTCCAAATTTCAGCACCTCAATGGGATCATCTGAGCTAGCCATAGGGACTGACCAGGAAAAAAAACAACAACAACGCCATAAATTAGCCTTTCTTGCTGAATGAGAATCTAGTGAGAGACTGAGGTAAAGGGGGGGGGGGTCGTAAACTCCGCGTTTCATTGGAAAAAAACAACAACTGCCAACATGGAAATGCCATTATAGCAATTTATACCGAGGCTATGCTTGGAAACTGTATACAGTTCTGGTCACCACATGTCAGACATGATGCTATAGATGGGGAAGGATGCCAGCAGAGCCAATTAGAAGGATGCTGGATGATTAGAGTGGCTCCCCTTCATAAAGATTAAAAGGACTGGCTTTTCAGAATAGCTTGGATGGAAAACAAGGAAGGGAAGCTATTTAGCAGCTTATAAAAGGGTGCTTAGGTGATATGGAAAATGTTTCTAGAGCCAAGTTCTTCTTCCTCACAATGTGAGAACCTGGGGCATCACTAGAAACTCAGGACTGAAAGCAAAAAAGAAGGAATTCTTTGCACAACCTAAATTTAACTGTGAAATTTGCTATCATCAGATGTGGAGGTGGATATTAATTTAGATGGTTCTAAAAAAGAACAGAAAACATTTGTGGAAAACAGGCTGGTAGACTTGATGATTGTTTAATACCTACAGAATGAGGAGCATCGGGGCTAATATCAGCTAGTAGGAAGGGAGCAAAGATGGAAAAGGGCCACGGGCCCATCTTCTTCTGGGCTGCACTTGGTTGGAAACTAAACAATGTCAAACGTTGGACTTTCTTATATTCTTTATATTCTTACATTCTGGTCACTTGAAAATTTACACTTGGACCAACAAAAACTGTTTCACTGCTTTTGCTACTCAGGCTTCAGACACAAACCTCCAACAAGTAAGCTGAGCTAAACTCTTCCATAAACTCATTTCCAAGTAAATATGCTGGAGACCTCATGGCTTCCCACTTCATACTAAGCCTGAAAGTGTATTGACTTGAGGGAGTGCAGAGGACTGTTCTGGAAATCACAGAAAAGTCATTATTAGGAGTATGCTTAAAATAGACTGTTGGGTCATATTTATTTTGCTTCATGTCAGGAATCTTTATTATTCACCCCTTTAAAAGATGAAAAACCAAAGCTAATTACAGATGGGATCCAGTGGCAAACCAGTGTATTTCTACGCCAAAGTATTTTCCACTGAGTTCATGAGTATTTGTTGTTAGGTCAATGAGTAAAGGATTGCAGCAGCAATACAGAATAAGGACATGTAATGGCGGTTCCAACATCATGTTTAATCAGCATTGTGCTAACTATGATTTGTTGAAAATACTGCATGTCAGGAGCGAAAGAACATGGCCAAACATGAAGGTCTAATTAAACTGATTTATAGCTGAATATGCCTATGTACAGGAATCTTGTTAACTAACAGTTAGCACTTGATTGAGGTATGTATGTATGTATGTATGTATGTATGTATGTATGTGTTTATAAAATTTATAGGCTGTCCATCTTGCCTGAAGGTTAGATAAGGGTCAACAGAATTCAAGGAGAAGTTGGAGTTAATTTGCTTATGGCTGCATAGGGATTCTAGACTGATCCCTCTTTTAACTCCACCCCCAAGTTCTGGCACCCCTTCTACACTACACTTGCTTAGCTTCACCTAACATGCTAAGCCACAACAATATTGGACTCACCTGGATTTGGTTTCCTCAAACCCACACTAGATTAAATTGGAGTTGAAAGCTTGGTGGTTTGGCATTGTCTTAATATATTGTGTGAAATAGGCTATTCATTTGGTTGGGTAAAACATTTCATATAAACATCAGGATTTGCAGGATGAATCATAACAGGTAAGATGGCAGATATGTCATTGTTATCAAAGCCCAACCCCTTTGAGGGCATGGCTTGGATTGCAACATTACATCTGCCATCTTAATAATAATAATAATAATAATAATAATAATAATAATAATAATAATAATAATAAAGTTGGAAGGGACCTTGGAGGTCATCTAGTCCAACCCCTGCTCAGGCAGGAAACCCTATACCATTTTGGACAAATGGCTGTCCAGTTTCTTCTTAAAAACTTCCTGTATTGGAGCATTTACCGTTTCTGGAGGCAGGTTGTTCCACTAGTTAATTGTTCTAATTGTCAGGAAGTTTCTCCTTAGTTCTTGTCAGTTTTGATTCCTCCCTACAATCATTTTTATATGTAAACACAGCAGTTGTGCTCTGGGTTTGGGGGAGGGTGTTGTTATGGCTTAATGATACTGAATAGACTTAGCTAATGCAACTAAGGAAATGTGCAGAGATGTCAGTCGATGAACCAGCCCACAAAGGTAGATCAGGGATATACCTGTTCTGTCCCAGCCTATAGCTGTCCTTGTTAAAGGCACAAGGACCAAACCCCTGTTGATAAAATAGGCTGGAGACTTTAAAACAAAACAAACCCCTATTAATATGGGTGACAAACCTGCCAAATAGTCCAAAACACAAACAGCAAAACTCAATCCAAATGAAGGAAATAGTCCACAGGAAACATGATGTAAACAGAAGAGTAATCACAAGCAAGACGAACAGACCAGGATCCAAAGAAGTACTTTGCAAACGGTTGCCTTCAGCAACCAGCACCGCCCACACCTCCTCTTTTTATACAGCAGTCCCAAGGCGTTGCCTCTCAGTGCCTTCTCCTTTTACTCTGGAGTTGCCGTATTGACTGCTGCTGATTTACTCTCGCTAATTGACGACGTGTGCGTGCATCCATTAGCATGTCCATCAGGTGTGAGTCCTCCGAGTCTGACTCATTCTCCTCACACAGCTGAGCTTCATCAGGAACACGACTGGAGGGCCCAGGCTCTGCATCAAACCGTGAGTTCTGCAATTCATCAGAGCCTCCCTCTGCCCCTGATGGCCCTTCAAATGCCTCCTCCACCTCCTCTTCAGATTCCTCAGACTCAGCTGTTGGGAGCACAGGCTGGCACGGAATCACAACAATACCATTCTGTTATTTTTAGCTAATATATCACATGGAAATTGTCAGGCTTGCTGGCAAAACCTGGCAAAATTTTTCAGATAGCCAGCTCAACTCAGGATGGTTTGACTAGTCTTTAGGTCTGAATTCAGCTTAAGGCCCTTTGACATACAAGATGCTTGGTTAGATAGATTGTGGATTAGGAAGAAGTTACAAAAATAGCCGACCAACAGCTGGCTGGGGGATTATGACAATTGAAATTGAACACAATGGCTGGGTTTGCACAAAGCATTATAACTGAAAGACTGGGAAATCTATTTTTCAGTATGTTATGGAAACTCAATCGTTGTCTTAGCTGTTGAATGACTTTAATGAATGACCAAGCTATGACTTTAAGTATTAATATGACTTTTTTTTTCATATGGATATAGCATCTTACTTTTGGTCTCCTGGAGTTAGAGGTGTGCATATTAGGATAGGATAGAATAGGATAGGATAGGATAGGATAGGATAGGATAGGATAGGATAGGATAGAATAGAATAGAATAGAATAGAATAGAATAGAATAGAATAGAATAGAGCTGGAAGGGACCTTGGAGGTCTTCTAGTCTAGCCCCCTGCTTGAGCAGGAGAACCTATACCATTTCAGACAAGTGACTGTCTAATCTCTTCTTAAAAACCTCCAGTGATGGAGTGCCCATGATTTCTGAAGGCAAGTTGTTCCACTGGTTAACTGTCCTCACTGACCAAAGAGAGAAGCAACCTGGGAATTTTCTCCTTAATTCTAGATCGCTTCTCTCTTTGGTCAGTTTCCAACCATTGTTTCTTGTTCTGCCCTCTGGTGCTTTGGTGAATTGTTTGACCCTCTCTTCTTTATGGCAGCCCCTCAAATACTGAAATACTGCTATCATGTCACTCCTGTTTTTTCTTTTCTTTAGACTAGCCAAACCCAAGTCCTGCAGCTGTTCTTCATATGTTTTAGTCTCCAAGCCTTTGATCATTTTAATTGCTCTTCTTTGCACTTTTTCCAAGGTCTCAACATCTTTTTTTGTGATATGGTGACCAAAAATGGCTGCAGTATTCTAGGCGTGATCTTACTAGGGTTTTATAAAGCGGTACTAATACTTCACGTGTTCTTGATTCTATGCCTCTGTTTATACAACCCAGGATTGTATTAGCTTTTTTGGCTGCTGCTTACTCATAGTCAAGTGATCGTCTACTAGGACTCCAAGGTCCCTCTCACAGTTACTGTTTTTGAGCCAGGTCTTGCCTAATCTGTACTTAAACCTTCGATTTTTCCTGCCTAAATGTAAAACTTTGCTTTTCTCCACATTAAAACTCATTTTGTTAGATAGGGCCCATTGTTCAAGTTTGTCAAGAACTTTTTGGATCCTGAGCTTGTCTTCTGGGATGTTGGCTATTCCTGCCAGTTTAGTGTCATCTGCAAATTTGATAAGCTCCCCTTCTATTTCCTCATCTAAGTCATTAATGAAGATATTGAAGAGTACTGGGCCTAAGACGGAGCCTTGTGGTACCCCACTGCTTACTTCTCTCCATATGGATGTAGTACCGTTGAGCATTACCGTAAATGCTGGCATATAAGACGACTTCCGCAAGCGCTGAAATCGGCGCCAAAGACGGGGGTCGTCTTATACGCCGAGTCGTCTTATACACCGGAAATACTGGTAGTTTCCGGCGTATAAGACGACGTTCTAGGAATGCGGCCCGGCTATAAAGACGG